TCCATCTATCCATCCACCCATCTAAAAGTCTATCTATCTATCTATCTATCTATCTATCTATCTATCTATCTATCTATCTATCTATCTATCTATCTATCCATATACAGTGGGGATCGAAAGTTTGGGCACCCCAGCTAAAAATTTGTATTAATGTGCATAAAGAAGCCAAGGAAAGACGAAAAAATCTCCAAAAGGCATCAAATTACAGATTAGACATGCTTATAATATGTAAAAAAAAAAAGTTAGATTTTATTTCCATCATTTACACTTTCAAAATAACCGAAAACAAAAAAATGGCGTCTGCAAAAGTTTGGGCACCCTGCAGAGTTAATATCTCGTACTGCCCCCTTTGGCAAGTATCACAGCTTGTAAACGCTTTTTGTAGCCAGCCAAGAGTCTTTCAATTCTTGTTTGAGGTATCTTTGCCCATTCTTCCTTACAAAAGTCTTCCAGTTCTTTGAGATTTCTGGGCTGTCTGTCACGCACTGCTCTTTTAAGGTCTATCCATAGATTTTTAATTATGTTGAGGTCAGGAGATTGTGAAGGCCATGGCAAAACCTTCAGTTTACGCCTCTTGATGTAATCCCCCGTGGATTTCGAGGTGTGTTTAGGATCATTATCCATTTGTAGAAGCCATCCTCTCTTTAACTTCAGCTTTTTCACAGGTGGCATCAAGTTACCCTCCAAAATTTGCTGAAATTTTATTGAATCCATTTTTCCTTCTACTCGTGAGATGTTCCCTGTGCCACTGGCTGCAACACAACCCCAAAGCATGATTGATCCAACCCCATGCTTAACAGTTGGACAGAGGTTCTTTTCATTAAATTCTGTGCCCCTTCTTCACCAAACGTAACTTTGCTCATTCCGGCCAAAAAGTTCAATTTTAACCTCATCGGTCCACAGAACTTGTTTCCAAAATGCATCAGGCTTGTCTATATGTTCAATTGTAAAGTTCAAATGATGATTTTTGTGGTGAGGACGTAGAAGAGGTTTTCTTCTGATGACTCTTCCATGAAGACCATATTTGTACAAGTATCTCTTTATAGTGGAATAGTGTACCACAACTCCAGTGTCTGCCAGATCTTTCTGGAGGGATCGTGCAGTCAAACGTGGGTTTTGAATTGTTTTTCTCACAATCCTGCGAGCTGTTCTGTCTGATATTTTTCTTGGTCTTCCAGATCTTGCTTTAACTTCTACTGTTCCTGATGACTGCCATTTCTTAATTACATTCCGAACAGAGGATATTGACATCTGAAAACGCTTTGCTATCTTCTTATAGCCTTCTCCAGCTTTGTGAGCGTCAACTATTTTCAGTTTCAGTTTTCTAGACAACTGCTTAGAAGAATCCATGGTACTGATTGTTGGGGCAAGGTCAGATGAGTCTGGGCATTTAAAACCTTTGAGCTTGACATCACCTGGTCTTCCCAGACGATGATTGAGAACAATCCATGACACTGGCAGGTCTCAGCTTGGCAAAGGGGGCAGTGCATGCTATAAATTCTGCAGGGTGCCCAAACTTTTGCAGACGCCATTTTTTTGTTTTCGGTTATTTTGAAGGTGTAAATTATGGAAATAAAATCTAACTTTTGTTGACCTATTATAAGAATGTCTAATCTGTAATTTGATGCCTTTGGAGATTTTTCCATCTTTCCTTGGCTTCTTTATGCACATTAATACAAATTTTTAGCTGGGGTGCCCAAACTTTCGATCCCCACTGTATATATATATGTGTATATATAATATATATACACACACCGATCAGCTATGACTTTATGACCATCCACCTAATATTGTGTAGGTACTCTTTTGTTGCCCAAACAGCCCTGACCCAACAAGGTATGGAATACACCAAACATCTGAAGTTATGCTGTGGTATCTGGCACCAAGCCGCCAGTAGCAGATTTTTTAAGTCCTGTAAGTTGCGAGGTGGAGCCTCCATGGTTTGGACCTGTTTTTCCAGCACATCTCACAGATGCTTAATTGGATCACATTTGAATAATTTGGAGGCCAAGTCAACACCATAAACTTGATGTTGTGTTTCTCAAACCATTCCTGATCCATTTTTGCAATGTGGCAGGGCACATCATCCTGCTAAAAGAGGCCACTGGCATAAGAGAATACTTTTAAATTTAAGGATGTACTTGGCCAGCAAAAATGTTAAGATAGGTAGTACATGTCAATGAAACTTCCAAGTGAATGGCAAGAACCAAGGTTTCCCAGACAAACATTGCCCAAAGCATCACACTGCCTCCCCCAGGTTGCCTTCTTCTCATAATGCATTCTAGTGTCATCTATTCCCCAGGTAAGTGACACACACACTTGGACATCCATATGATATAAAACAAAATGTGAATAATCAAACCAGGCCAGCTTGGTCTTCCATTACTCTTTGGTACAGTTCTATTGTTCATGTGCCCATTGGAACACTTTTGGCTGTGGACACGGGTTAGCATGGGTACCCTGACTGTCTATGGCGAGGAGAGAGAGAGAGATAAAGAGAGAGAGAGATCAGAAGAGATAGGGGTTACTACTGAGCAGGGGATCAGCAGAGTTACAAATATCCACAGGCCAAAAAAATCCCCATCAGAGTCCCCCCTTACATCATGGCCCCCATCAGAGTCCCCCCTTAGATCAGCGGTGGAGGCCAAAGCCAGTCTCTGCTGACCTTAAAGTGAAACTACACCATATCTGAGCACCACAAACCGAAAGCACTGTTTACTTCATTTTTAATATTCAAAGCAAACTCCCCCGTTCATCCATGTCTTCATGCTTTATTTTGCTGAGAAATCACTTACAAAAAGACCCCCTAGCATTTCTGGCCATGGCCATCTTGAATAAGGGCAGATGATTCATGTAGCATTTACTTCCTGAAATCCATCTGCCCTTAGCTCAGGCATGCAGGCAGGAGGGTGTGCTTAGCTGAGAAAACCCCTCCTGAGGACTCCTGGAATGTATGACATAATTTGCCTAGGCATGGAAACCAGGAACTAACTAAAGAAATGTAAAAAAAAAACAAGTAAATACGATATACTTTCCAATCTATACATTAATGCTAGCAGCATAAAAATAATCAATGTTGATTGACAGAGTGAAACCTCAATCTGTTCACGTTGAGGATATGCTACTTACCCTAGCTGTTGGCTAGATAAAATCTTGTAGTGGGCAGGATGTGGCCCACGGCCATAGGTTGGAGACCCTGGATTAGAGGGTCTACTTGTTTGATGTGCTGGGCAAGTGACATTGGTGTATGCCAAGGTGTATACAACAGCCCAAAAAAGGGGACAAATGAGGAAGAAGAGGTACAGAGGGATTCAGTTCCAACAGAGGGACAGTCTCTTCAAATGTGGGACAGATCAGAAATACGGATCCCCTTCTAGCAGCAAATAAATGATATAAACATACCATCCAAATGTCAAGAATTCCAGGCCCAGTCCAGAAACATTTAAGGAATGAGTCTTATGTGTATTTTCCTCAGTGTTCAATGCGGTTTACAGGGTTTATTTATAAGGTCAGTTCACCTAAAATTTCTGTAATAAGTAAAACAATGTGGGGTCTTCAGTAGTGAGATTTCCTATTCCTGGCTTTCATCCATCTGGGGGTTTATGGTGTTCCAACCCCCTTAGAGTGTTCCCACCCCTCATTTGCCATAATATAAAAGACACTCACTGGCCACTTTATTAGGTACACCTTGCTAGTACCGGGTTGGACCCTCTTTTGCCTTCAGAACTGCCTTAATTCTTCATGGCATAGATTCAACAAGATGTTGGAAACATTCCTCAGAGATTTTGGTCCATATTGACATGAGTTACTGTTGACTTTCTATCATCTTGAACCAGTCTGCCCATTCTCTTCTGACCTCTGACATCAACAAGGCATTTTTGTCCACACAACTGCTGCTCACTGAATATTTTCTATTTTTCAGACCATTCTATGTAAACCCTAGAGATGATTGTGTGTGAAAGTCCCAGTAGATCAGCAGTTTTTGAAATACGCAGACCAGCCCGCCTGGCACCAACAACCATACCATGTTCAAAGTCACTTAAATCTCCTTTCTTCCCCATTCTGATGCTCGGTTTGAACTTCAGCAAGTTATCTTCACCACGTCTAGATGCCTAAATGCATTGCATTGCTGCCATGTGATTGGCTGATTAGCAATTTGTGTTTCTAAGCAATTGAACAGGTGTACCTAAAAAAGTAATGTAACAGGGAGAGTGTGAACCCTTGGTCTTGGCCATGGCAGATGTACAAACCCGAAACTCAAGCAAGGTCTAGCATCTAGGATGTGAAATATAGCTTTTGGGTTGATGAACTTATGTGTTCAACCCAATCAGTGAGCTGTCACTGAAGAAAAAAAAAAACACAAAAAGCAGCAGTATGGACATACTACAGTGCCAACAGAAAAAAAGGTGTGAGAGGAAGCTAGCCAAAAAATAATGTACAGACACACAGGAACTACAGTCTTCCAAAGGGGTTTTCAATTTCTACTAGAAGACCTCTTTAACCACTAGCCTACAGGGCACTTATACCCCCTTCCTGCCCAGGCCAATTTCCAGCTTTCAGCGCTGTCGCACTTTAAATGACAATTACGCGGTCATGCAACATTGTACCCATATGAAATTTTTATCATTTTTTTTGTGACAAATAGAGCTTTATTGGTGGTATTTAATCACCTCTGGGTTTTTTCTTTTTTCTTAAACAAACCAAAAACCACTGAAAGTTTTGAAAAAAAACATTTTTTTCTTAGTTTTTGTTATAAAATTTTGTAAATAAGTGATTTTTCGCCTTCACTGATGTGCGCTAATGAGGCTGCACTGATGGGCACTGATAGGCTGCACTGATGGACACTGATAGGTGGCACTGATGGGCACTGATGAGGAGGCACTGGTAGGTGGCACTGATGGGCATTGACAGGCATCACTGATGGGCACTGAAAGGCAGCACTGATACATGGCACTGATATATGGTACTGATAGGCGGCACTGATAGGCAGCACTGACTGGCACTAATAGGCGGCATTGACTGGCACTAATAGGCGGCATCGACTGGCACGGATAGGCGGCACTGACTGGCACTGTTAGGCGGCACTGACAGGCGGCACTGACTGGCACTGATAGGCGCCACTGACTGGCACTGAAAGGCGGCACTGACTGGCACTGATAGGTGGCACTGATTGGCATTGATAGGTGGCACTGACTGGCACTGATGGGTAACACTGAAAGGCAGCTCAGATGGGCACTGATATGTGGCATTGATGTGCACTGGTAGGCACTGATATGTGGCACTGATGGGCACTGGCACGAGGCACTGATGAGCACTGACCTAATGCACTGATGGACACTGACAGGTGGCACTGCTGGGGTTACACTGATCATCAGGGCACACTGATCATCAGTGCCCTGATGATCAGTGTACATGTCCCCTCTGCGGAAAGCCGATTACTGGCTCTCCTCTCAAGCTGTCAGCGTGACCGCTCGAGAGGAGAGAAATGCCGATAACCGGCATTTCCCTGCTTACATGTGAACAGCTGTGATTGGATACAGCTGATCACATGACCGAGCCGACATCTTCGGCTCTTTACATGATCGGTGATCTGCTGTGTCCGAGGAACACAGAGCACCGCCGATTGCCGCGCTGCGCGCTCCCTGAGCCGCGCATGCGCAGTGAGAATGGGAGTACGTCTCATATGACATCCTCCCAGAACGAGAGAACCACCTTGAGCCCATCATATTACTATATGGCGGCCGGGAGATGGTTAAAGTAAATCCATACCCTCTACAGGATTACTAATCTAACCTCACAATGCCATTTTTTTTTGCGGTCACCACTGCAGCCATCATGGTGGCTGCAAGTGTAGCGCTCACCCCCGAAGGAGCCGCTGGACTTAATGGGCACTTCTGTCCTTATTTCAGTGATGAACCATATATATATTGGATCCACAGCACACCAGTACACCTTGTGGGAAGTTTTTTAACAGGTTTAATAAGACAGGTAAAACTCTGCAAATAGACTGCAAATTAACTTGGAAAATAGCAGTTAAATGCACTGAATACACAAACCTTCTACAACTGGCACAATAACATCAATAAACACAATATTCATGTATATACGTATATACCGGTATAGCTATAGATCAGAATTAACCCCCTGCAGCTATAGTAGCAATATGTTCCCAGCTAAACTGACGTCTCTTTAGGCTCAGTCCCCAATTCACTTGTATACTGTGGGATTGTAACACTGTGTGAGTCTATGTGTTGCACAGGCCTGTGTTAGTGAATTGGTGGAGGGCTCTTAGGGACTGACATGTCACAGGTTAGCAGTTGCTCACCACATCTACGAAGAACAGTCTCCAGGGGTTAACTCCTTGAAGGGATGATGACTGGGGCTCTGTTGTTTTCTGTTGTCAATTGTCGCTGCTGCACAATCTCTGAGGTGCCTCACCTGGGGCGGTCACACGCCTCCTCTGCGATTTCCAACACTCTGACCTCTCTCTGCGGTGGGAGATGTCGTTGTTGTCGGTAACGGGCCGTCGCAGGTGACCGGTATCAATGATCACAGTTGCTGCTGACTTCAGCTGCTGTAGATAACCATTGTCCTTAGTAACCTCTGCTGTTCTGGAAACAGTGTCAGTGTACTTCAACAGTAGGGGCTGCAGACTAACCCCACATGTCCTCTCCAAAGGCACACGTGGCTCACCTCCCCCTCCTCCTTGCAAAGCATCCTGGTCCTGTAGTCCTGTGCAGTATAAAGTTACATTGTCTGCCTCTGTGATGAAACTGCAACTCCCACAAACACTCCAGTACTGCTGAGAGCTGAGCCAATCAAACCCTTTTTGACAACATGCAGTCTTAAAAGTGAAACAGTTCTTTAAAAGGGAAACAGCAATGGCCCCGCTACACAAGTAAACAAATTTGTTTGAAATGTTTACTCCTGGCTGCAGGTTATGTAGTATAATTGATGCAGATGGCTTTAAAGCCACCCAACCACTTCTACATGGTAGGGAAATTTGGCTGCACTTTTAGGACTAAAACACGTGAAAGCTCATCTCTGGCCAAAAATGGCTTTTAACTGAGGCATTGGTGTCTGTTCACCTTTGTCTTGTTTGTCCTTTGTTTAAAAATTTTCATGGGCACTGTTGTGCGTTCCTTCACCAACACCGGGCTGTAGACTCTCTTTATGTGGCAATTCCTGTCCATAGAACCGGACACCTGAACCAGCTCTATTTGTAGCACAGTGACTGCTCCCCTCAACTTCCCCATGAAATGGGATCTCAAAACGTTTCAGTACATGGGTCACATCATAGATTTTACAAACATTTTCTGGCTGGAAAAAGTTCCCATTTAACACTGGCAGGGGTGCTTACAATGATCAGCCCTTTTTTATTAACCTCTTGGCACCGGCCGAACATAAATGTGTGGCCTCCCGGTGTCTGGGCCTAGATGTCGAGCGGTCGCACATGTACGTTCTATTGCAAAAAAACATATGTGCTGAGAGCGTGCGCCTTGCGCGCTCCCAGTACACACGTTCGGTTCTCACGGAAAGGTCCCGATCTCCTCTTTCGATCGGGACCTTTTGCAATCATGTGGCTGCCATGAAGCGCATCACGGCGGTCACATGACCCTAAAACCCCCCCACCTGCCAGCTTCTGGAACCCTTAAAGGGGTTAATGTAAAGCACAGGTGTCAGACTGGTGGCCCTCCAGCTGTTGCCAAACTACAAGTCCCATGAGGCATTGCAAGATTGACAGTTACAAGCATGACTTCCAAAGGCAGAGGCATGATGGGAATTGAAGTTTCGCAACAGCTGGAGGGCAGCCAGTTTTAAACCCCTGATGTACAGCTTTATCCCACAAGGAAATAAAAACTGTTGCTATAACTGATTATAAAGTGTAAGCTGCAGTTTGGCTTCAATTTGCTAGTGTATTTAACAGAGGGAACAGAGGGAAAAAAAGCTTCAACAAAAGAAAACCAATGCAGCCACATCTGATGATTGGTAAACTGGAATATATAACATTTTTGACTTTGGGTTTAACCTCCTTAGCGGTTTTCCCAAGTGTAGCTCGGGGTACAATTTGAGTACCAAGAGCGGTAACCCCGAGCTACACTCGGGCTTACCATGCGGCGTTGCTCAGGGGGTCCCTGCAGCACTTACCTTGTCCTTCGCTTCCGCGATGTGTCCCCTGCAGCGTCCCCGGCCATCTCTTCCGGCCGATGCCGGCATCCGGCTTCCGTGTTCCGGTCCCTGCGACGTCGGGACATACGGGCGCCGGAAATTTGAAATTTTTAAAAAATGTCATTTTTGCTGTCATTGCTGTTTCAATGCATTTCACATAGATTTTGTCCCTACTGCTTTGTCCTGTGCCCTGCCTGCATTTTGACTGTTCTTTCTGGCTGGAAACTTAGAAAAGTCCATGGCGTCCAAAAAGCGTCCCTTTACGTCAAAAGCGGTTTTAGACGGGCTAGAGAACAGCGATAGTAAATCAGAACCACTTGCAGAATTGAGTGATAATGATTCGTGGGGAAATTCGTCATCAGACACTGAAAATGATTTTGCGACTTTGCTCAGCGATGTACGAATTTGCCTCTGTATTTCAAATTTCAGTGTTTTTGGTTTGATTATATTATTGAATTAAATTTATTATTATTATATTATTATTTTTTATGATTATTTATTAAATTATAATTTATGATTTCGTGTTTCAAGTTTTATCATATCCGGGATGTTTACTAGACTCTTGTTCGTACAGATTTCAGTGAGTTATTCCTAAAAATTACAGCCTACAATAAAAAACTACATTTTTCCATGCAAATAAATGGTACCACTTTCAGCACCAAAAATCGGAAAAAATCATACCGCTAGGGAGGTTAATACCGTTTTAAGGCTGGCCATACACTAAACAAATTTCTTACAATTTTCTGTCCAATTTCTTCCCAATTCCTTTTAGATTTACCTTCAACTATGTAGTACAAGGGCTTGCCTAACTGGATACAATTGAAAGTGTCATTTAGGTTTGACTTCATATTATATGTTTTTTGGTAAATCTAAAGCACAAATCTCAATAAAATTGTATAATGTATGGCCAGCCTTAGGATATTCCACTGACTAGCTACGGTTGGATAAAATCTTGTAGGGGGCTGGATGTGGAACACCCTCCTTCCAGCATGGATACCCCTCTTCCTAGCACCCTGATACAGCAGCAGGGGCGGACTGACCATTTGGAAACTCGGGCACTGCCGAGGGCCTGGGGTCAGTAGGGGGCCCCATGAGATGCCCCTGGTACCTTTTTCATAGGCTTTTTTGAGTTTGGGCAAGGACACAGGGGCCCCATGATCCCCTGTTGCCCGGGGGCCCCATGAGTTGTCAGTCCGCCCCTGTACAGCAGGATTATGGCACGCTATTTGATGGCATCACAGTCGTTAGTACATGATTTTATGCTCATAAAAATGAAGTACACACAGCAGCTGTAAATGGCAAGAAGGAGAGTGGAATGCAGGAGATGAGCTTAGATCACTCGATTTACTGGAATACATTTTTAGCCCTTACAGTGCAGCGATAATGACAGTTATTTCTCTGAACTGAAGTGATTTTCTGTGTCAGGATTGTAAACTTGAGTTACCAAAAGACACACCATGGTAAATGTCGGCTGACTAATTGCAGAGAGACAACTGGCAGCCAAATGTTGGCGGGACATGTGAAATATACCACGGCTCTGTTAATTTATTTACATGTCGTTCTTTTGGCCTCAATTGTGAAGACTTTTTGCTATGTTTGGCCTATATAATGAGAATGATGTGCAGAATGCGGCTATGGGCCCTGAGCCACAGAAATCACAGATAGCAGGCTTGGTCTATATAGGGGTAAAAGGGATGTCTCCACAAATAATTGCCCCTTAAAGTGTTACTAAACCCACAACAGTAAAATCAGTCTGTATATACAGTAAGCATGCTTGTTATACTCACTGTGGAACCTAAGGGGTTAATCCTCTGCATTGTGTAAAAATGATGTTTGATCCTGACTTCTCTGATACTCCCCTTCTTCTACTGTCTCCAATCCATCTGCTGATAGACAGAGCTCTAGGAGTCACACTACACATGCTCAGCTTAGTTTTTATTTTTCTTTGGGAAGGTGCATGTGATCAACACAAGGCCAATCAGCACTGTCCAGACAGAGAGTCAGGGGTTATGTAGATTTACAGGAGAGTCAGAGCAGAATGAAAACTCCTCCTACAAGCTTTAAGCAATGCTCAGCTGGACACTGATAGAAGTCACAAGACTGCTATGTACTGCTGATAAGAAAAGGTATTTAGCAGTTTATATTTACTAAAATAATTGCATTTCCATGTTCTGTGGGAGAGCAGATATAGTGAATGCAGGGTCCTGGGTTTAGTAACACTTTAAATGCTGGTTATGAAGATCTGGAAAACTGCATTGGTAAATACACACAAGTGCTAAGCTCATCGCTGGAGTTATTTATTTATCACAGGTACTTGTATAGCCCCATCAATTTACACATTCTCATCAGTCCCTGTCCTCAAGGGGCGTACAATCTAAGGTTTCTAATTCATATTCATACAGTCTAAAGTTTCTAACTCACATTCATACATACACATACTAGGGCCAATCTCCTAGATTGTAAGCTCGAAAGAGCAGGGCCCTCAATCCCTTCATGTTT